TATCGCGTTCGAGAGAGAGAGGGAGGGAGAGAAAGGCGGGAACTTTCGAATTTTAGAATTTTACGTTCCAATTGCTTGTACGAATAATTATCGAAAGCGTTTCCTTCGAGAGACGAAGAGATCGTATCGTCGATTTCCCTCTCCGCGTATACACGGAGAGAAAGATTTCGACGTGCGAAATTACTCGAGTGACGAAATGGGATGATCACCGCAGCTTCGTTTCGAGGGATACGAAAGTAAGCTCGTTACATGTGTCGAAAGATAAGAAGAAGAAGAAGAAGAAGAAGGAGGAGGAGGAGAAAAATGAGACGAGAGAAAGGTAAGGACGGGCAACTTCTCGCAACTCGACACCTGTACGAGACGGTAATATTCTCGTACAGGTTAGTGCAACGGCTTTCAAGGTGGCGGAGAGACGTTTCCACCTGCCCGCCTCTGTAAACACGAACCGCGTACAACGAAGAGCAGCAACCTCTTCTTATCTGCTCCACGGAAATAAAACGCGGCCAAACCGCTGTCTAGGATAGAATACGTGTCCCCCCTCGGGACACCGCCGAGCTTTTTCGACCCCCTCTACCGCCATCCAAACTATCTCTCGATTCAATTTTAGCATCAAAACTTTCCTCCTTCGCAAAAGTTTCCTTCCTCCCCCAAAAATATCGCAAATAAACGAGTAAACCGAAAAAAAGAAAAGAAAAAATCACGAAAAAAGCGCCACCCCTCAAGAAATAATGCAACTCACGGCACGAGATCTACGGATCCGAATACTCGCACGCATGTCCATTAATTTGCCGAGTCGATGGAGCGAGCTCTTTCCTCTATCGCGGTTCGCGGAGACTACGAGCGATTTAACGAGAAGGAAGGAGTCGCGTGTAATCGCTGCGCCACAGGACGAGGTCTCCATCTCCTCGCTGCCAGCCGTCGTCCCCCGTCCGTGCGAGTGCATTACCACGTATCGAAGAAAAAGAAAGAGATGCCCTCCACCTCGCCTCCCCCCTCGTCTCGAGGAGGAGAGCTCCCTCGCTCGCTCTAAATCACAACTTTTGTAACCAGCCGCGCTGCGTTACACAAATGCAAATGCTCCCCTTTTCCTTCCTTCTTCTCTTACCCCAGACTCGTGTTTTTATTTCTGCGCCATCATTTCCGGTACGCGCAAAACAAATAATGATTCGCGAGGTCAAAGCGATTTACAAATCTTCGGGACGCGGATTCATCTTGCGAGTTCGTCTTCTCGATCAGCGAATTGTCGTTGGACGATAAGGGATGCGACGATAAGGGATGTACGATCGAAGGGAATAGGTTTTCAGGTGGATTCGATAACGGAGGATTCAGTCAATCGTTCGCGAGCGCGAAGTTGTGGACGAGGAGGAGGAGGAGGGGAGGGAGGATCTGGGCTGGCTGGCGCGTTACGTGACGCCGGACTTTCGGATCCGCGAGGAGGAGGAGGAAACGCGAAGGTCGATCGAAACGAATAGAAAGCTAGGAAACACACTGCGCATCTTTTTCCGTGCCTTTTCTTTCTTCCCCCTCTCTCTTTTTTTTGCGCTTCTCGCTTTTAATTAATCGATTCGAAGTTTCATAACGAATGGATAATATTATTCTCGAACGTGGTAACTAATCGATCGGCGTTTATCAATGGTATGGAGAAAGGGGGGTTACTCGGCTCCTCGAAAAGAAAGTTGGAAAAATTTCGTAGTGGAGCGGCTGCTGCGTAGCGCGGTTATTAGGAAAGTTTAAAAGTCGCGGAACACCTGTTGAGCAGAGCTGAGAAGAGGCTTCAAGAAGCGAAGAAGAGGAAGCTACCGTTCGAAAGGTCATTTCTCGCGCGTCACGCGAAGAATCGTATCGATGACGCATCGTGTCTTAAATTGGGGCGCGAGAAACGATCCGTGAATATTTTTCTCTCCTCCCTTTAAACGGTGGAAAGGTGGATCGTCGTCTTCACCTTTGCATCGTTTCCCGCGTTATTTCGACTCGATTCGCTCGATGCGTTCGAAGCTATTGGATCTATAAATCTGGAGGAACGGACGGGGTGAAGCGAAGAAATTGAGGTCGGGGCCGAGTGGAGGAAGATCTGGTGGCCCGATGTTTACGAGCGATGAGAGAGAGAGAGAGAGAGAGACTGGACGAGCCTTTTGGCCTCGTCGTAACGATCGTATGGGATTTCTCTCTACAGACCCTTCGGGCAGCTGCTACCGCTTCGTCTTCCAGACTCGGGGATGAAATCGGAACACCCTGAGGATCCTCGGTCCAAAGACCGAG